TTTTTTTTTTTTTTAATTTTTTTTTTTTTTTTTTTTTTTTTTTTTTTTTTTTTTTGGATTTGTAAATGGTCTAAAAAACAGAAAAAAAAAACTAACGTCGTCTGTGTCGTTAAAGTCAAGTTTTTTTGTTAGTAATTTTTATAGTTTATCGTTTGAAGAGTTTTGCTTTGTTTTTGATAAACTAGGTTTTAGAATACGTGCACAAACCGCTTGTAAGGGTTAGACCCTTCCTTGGAGTCTGGCGATAGCTCGATGAGAAAGACTATGCGTCCGTCTGGCATTAAAGCCACATCGCAGGTGCGATCCTTTTCATCCAATGTGGGTGGCATTAAGGGATTGATAGAAGGACGCACTTCAATCTAGGTAAAAGAGAAAGAGATTACATTAGTTATATATCCAAAGAGAAGGGGAGACAGAGGGTAGGGAGGGAGAGTATGTATTAGACTCCTGACTTACATCCCACATAAAGTCTAGATTTTGATTGAAGACGAGTATGCGTTGATTCTTGGAATCGGCGACTATAATACGACCCTCGTCGTCGCAGCAAAGACCCGAGGGGCGATTGAACTCATGAAAGCCAGAGCCCTCATGTCCTTTCACAGACAAAATCTAAAGAGAAAGAGAAAAACATATACATATAGTTGAGTTCAGGAAAAGTTCATCTCAGTTCTTACATCATTAATATCCGGATCGATTAGATATAGACAATGATTATCAAAGTCGGACACGATTATGTTGCCCGTGGGCGTGTAACAAACGCCTCGCGGCGAGGCAATGCCCTTCGTCTGCCCGTGATTATCGAACACTATTTGCCGTATGAAGCGTCCCTCGGAATCGAACTGCTGTATGCGATGATTCCTGGAGTCGGTGACCACAATTTGGCGTCTCGAGTTCACAGCCACATCCCATGGATATTGGAACTGTCCATACTCTTTGCCATAGCTGCCGAACTTGAGCAAGAAGACGCCGCTGGCTGTGAAGATTTGCACACGATGATTATCCTTGTCGACGACGATGATGCGATTGTCCACATCGACGCAGATGCCGGCAGGCAAATCGAATTCACCGTTGCCAACACCTTTGCGTCCGAACTTGAACTTGAGCGAGCCATCCGGATTGAAAACCTGAACACGATTGTTGCGTCTGTCCGAGACGAGCACATGCCCCATCTTATCCACACACAGGCCCCACGGACGACTCACTTGGCCGTCCTCATGGCCCTCGGTGGCAAACGAGAGTGAGAGCGCGTTCGAATTGCGCACCTTCACCAGATCCATGCAGCCCGGTATGGCCTGCGTGGTGCGCGGTGCACTGAAGTGCAGACCCGGCGAGCTGCGCAATCCGTTCAATTCCCAGTCCAAAGCGGCGCTGGACATGCCACAGGAGCTGCCCACTCTAGCCGGCTGCATGATCGGCGAGGGTATGCGGAAGCTGTTGTCGCGGAGCAAGGGACGACGCACAGTGGTCGAGGCCACGTTCAGGGCTCCATTGCTGGCCAAGCTGGTCAGGCCAAAGGCCATATCAATGTTGGCCGCAGTTGGAGCCGCAGCTGGTGCGGCGTTTGCCACGATGCCATTGCTGCTCGAGACAATGGGCATGTTCTTGTCGTCCACTAGGATAACGCCGCCCTGTGTGCGTATGTCCTGCAGCAGACTGTAGTCGGGCGGCGCAAAGGCAAACACCTCCTGCTTGGGCTGCAAGTCCTTGTAGATGCCCGCGAATTGCTCCATCTGTCGCTGGCCATTGGTCAGCTTCATGGCCAACTCGATTTGGTCCATGCTACACGCATTTTCGGCCACCTTGCTGAGCATGTCCGATGTCTCCGAAAGACCAGCCAGAGCTGACTTCAGGCCCGCCATCTGGTCATGCAGTATGGCCAGACGACGCTGGCGCAGCTTCTCCACGAAGTCCAAGAGGAATCGCTCGCGATCTTCGATGGCGATGATGAACTGTCGGAATGCTTTGCGGATGTTGTCGCTCAGCTCGCTGCAATTGCGCTCGATGAGGCGTATGAAAGCGAGCGCCTTATCGATGCTGCTCTTGATGCAGCGCGTGCCCACCTGACTGCTCTCGATGGCGCCTTCCAGCTTCTCCTTGGACCCGATCATGAAGTTCTGTATCGAGGCATAGCTGTGCTCCTTGTGCTCGTGCAGCGTGCAAAATTGGCAAACCAACTTGCGACAGTAGTCGCAGACGTAGCGCAGCATCTCATTGTGTATATCACATATGTAGTTGCTGCTCGATGGCGTTTGGACATTCGACGAGCTGCCGCCAGTTGGGGAGGCGCCAATCGGCGTCGGCAGCGAGACGATCGAGTGATTCGAGGACAATGGACTATTGCGATGCTCGCGCAAGCAGTCGTTGCACATGAATTCGTTGCACTCCAAGCAACGGATCGAGGCGCTCACCTCGCACCAGCCACAGCTGATGCTCGAGTTGTTCGACGACTCCGGGGACATTTTCGAGTGACGCGAGGCGCCGCTTCCGATCGGTCCGATTCCAAAATGATCCCCATGTGTGTCCAGGCCGCCCAAGAAGTTATTGATAAAGAAATCCGTGCGAGGCGGCGAACTAAGGATGGAGAAAGATTCGATTAATCGCAAACTTTAGAATTAATAAAGTTCCAATTCACATTCAACTTCCTATTCAAATTCAAGATTCGATAGACAACACTCATTTATCGAACTGCGATAAGAGTCTTTTATTCAAATGAACTAGACAACTTGAACTTTTGAACTAAAGCTTTAACTTTAAGCAGCTTACAGTTAAAATTCTTGAGAGTTGGAATTTGCTTAATGAATTTGAAGAAGTTTAGTGGAACTGGTTCATTTCGCTGTGGTTCACTTACCCATTGGCTGCGCCCACATTGGGCATGAGTCCCACATTGAGATCCCAGGCGGGAAATGATTCCAGTATGCCGGCGAGCAGTCGTTCCGATGAGTTGCTGGCGTTGCTGCTGATGCTGCCGCTGCCGCTACCGCTGCCGCCGTTAACGCCGACGCCGGCATTGGGAGCGCCAGAGCCACTGCCGCCTCCGACGGCGCCGACCGCGCTTGGCGCATTACTGTTGACCATTTGTTGTGGAACCGTATTGTTTGACAAGAGTTCCATCATAAGATTTTGTTCTGTATTGAGATCACGTTACGATAAGTGGCAACAGCGTTGTAGGCGTGGCCCTTGGCAGTCAACGAGACACTCTCAAGCTAAATGGAGACAGACGGAGACGCAGTTGAGTATAACAGTTGCGGATAACAGTTGTCGGTATAACAGTTGTCAATATAACAGTTGTTAGTGTGACAACAGCTTTATTTAATTATTTAATTTATTGATTTGATTTGAGTAGCGTTTGTTTGATTTGCGTTTGGAACGCGCCAAAAATTAGAAAATTAACCGCGAGGCGAAGGCGAAGTTCACAGACGCCGTGTAGGCAGCTAACTAAGTTCAGAATAGGCAATGTCCTGTCATTAAGTAGTCCAAATGAGCAGGACTCAGTTCTACCTCTACCTCTCGCTCTTTCTCTCTCTCTCTCTCTCCCTCACGCATAAGCACCCAATGCGTGAATGCAGCTGCTTGCATGTGTGTGTGCGTCTTAGGTAGCGGGAAATCGTCTTTGGCTTGGGCCATTGTTACTTGATCCCTCAGGAAAATGCAAGCGACCCGCATGAGCAGCTGCACAACAAGCACAGGCTCACTGCTCACGGCTCAGGAAGAGTCTTAAGGCAGCAGGTCAAAAACAAGAAGAAGAAAAATGAAATGGTTTTCCAGTTTATATCCTTGGCGGCATCCTGGAATTTGGCACGCATTTTCCCAATTTATGACACTGATTCCGTTTAAGTATACAAAATGGCGGACATAAGCCTAAACCAGAAGCCCGTAACCAGTGAAAGAAAGTGTTCGAGCTTGAATTCGAATTAATAGAATGTAATACTAAAGCATTTTACATTTTCATCAAATTTTCTAAATTAATTTATATATAGATGCCTAAGGAACCAAATTTTCGAACTTTAATTCGTAATCGAAAATAAATGTAATATCAACATATTACATTTACTTCGAATTCGAAAAACCAGAATGCAATGTAAATGGTACAGTTAAGGTTTTATAAAAGTTCTTCAAACAAGATACCCAATTCCCAAACATTAGTAAACAAGAAATTGCACTTCTCTTGTCAGCTAGTGTAAATGCAACACCCTTCGACTCTGGCTGTACTTGCAGAAGGGTTCTGTGACCCACAAACCATTTCCAAAACAAAACAAATAAAAAGCCAAAAACTACGCACCAAAAACATTTTCTATTTATAGGACTTTCTAGATAAACGCTAAAACCACCCCCAAAAGCCCCCACACCCTAAACACATGATTTCTACCCGATTTCCGTGTTAACTTCGAATCCAGTAAAGAAAAATAAAACAAACTGGTTGTTGTGCTCGTTGCCATCTTCAAGATGGAGCGACAAAACGCCCAAAATACAGACGGACGGGCGGACAACAGACTGACTTTCATCCCCTCTTACAACAACAACAACAATAACAGAAAATTCAGCAACAACAAGAGGAAGAAGCGAAACAACAAGAAAACGCAGCGACAGATGGAGATTACACTGGAAGAAATAATTATGTTAGAACTTGCCTTTGAGAGTTAATTCAATTAAGAAGTTAATACAGTAAAGACTGTCTAGAAAGAAACGAAGAATACAATAAAATTGATACAGTGAATGCTGACTAAAAACAATTGACAAAATGAGGAGTCGAATTTGCTCCAAATATTTATATGATAATGATAATGAACTAATAAGCCAGTGAGCCAGAGCAACAGTGGATGCTGGCCATATATGAGTTAATACAATAGGTAACAAATAATGACAAAGCTTTAGAACTGAAGAGCCAATGAGCTAAATAGAACTAGTTCAATTCACTCAAAATTAAATAGATAATAAAATAAATATAATAATAAACATTTTACATTTAATCGCATTAACAGTATTACACTAGTTGTGGAATATTTGTTCACCAATGAGAGGTCTAGTTTTACCTAGTTATCAATCTATTTCTTAAGAGTCATAGAATAGTCTGGAATCAAAACAAAAAAAAATCTTTTGCGCCGAAACAGCTCCAATTAACTCACCCTCCTTAGCCCACTCTCTTTCTCTCACTCTCTCGCTCTATCTACCTTTCTGCCCTGCTCTTTTTCTCACTCCTTCACTCTCTTCTACTCAGTGGCAGCAATGAAAACTTGTATGTGTGTATATACGTACATATGTATGTATGCAAGGCCTTACAAAATGATGCACTTCTAGATTTTTGGGCCGTGTAGACAAAATACACTGTGCAGAAACTACCCTTGTCACCCTTGGAACATTTCCATCGAAACAGTCGCCGTGTCTCAAAAACGTTGTAGAAAAAAACAACAACAACATGAACCAAGAAGTTAAACTCCTTTTACATTTGTATACACACACACATACATAGAAACTGTATGAATATGAGTGTGTGGACTACGTGCAAGACGCAAAAACGGCAAGGGATGAGGGTTGTATTTATACAAGTTTCTAGGTGGGTAGATATACATGTATGTGTGAGCAATACATACAAATGGCAAAAAAAAGAAAAGAAAATCTTAATGTATCATATTTTCAATTTTGAAGTCAATCAATTAATATTTACGTTGAGAGTATTCAATTTATAAAAAAAAAAACAATACTCTTTGTTTTTATTTCTTCTTTGCTTCCAAAGGAATATTTTACAACGGTTTCCCTGCGCTTTAAGTCCCATCATTGTTTTTGTTTTTCCGTTAACTTTTGTTTTCTTATTTTTGTATTTTCGCTACACACCTTTTTTAGCTGCTTCATGCAAGCCGCTGAAAGTATCGTTGTGTTTTTGTTTTACTGCTGATTTTAAACTTTACCGTTTAGTTTTGTTTTTGTTTTTTACTTATTCTTTTCACACACACACACACACACACATAAATATATGATGTACTTGTACTTATATTTTGCGCAAAAAATTTATTGATTTACGTCTTATGGAGTTTCTTTTTTTTTTTTTTTTTTAATATTTTCTTCATGCGAGATTCTTTGATGGGTATGTAAGACCGTGAGATCTCATGCGTAATACGTTTCGACTCCCGACATTCGTGTATTCCTTTGCCCGACTAAAAGATACATTCGACTAAAAACACAACATAATAATCATGCCTGCCCTTCTACACATACTACATATACATATGCGAGGCTGTATGTGTGCGTATAATTGTGTGTGTGCGTGAGTGTTGCTTCTTCTCTGCTATGTTGTTGTTGTTTGTTGTTGCTGCGCTTGCTCATCATCTATGTAGCTAAACAAAAAATAATATAAGCCCAAATGTATCTCACTGTTTTTCGTCTTTTTTTCTGATTCTGTTGTTTGCGTTCGCGCGTGCTCCAAAAATTTCACTCTTTGGGGTTTCGCCGTGCAGCCGCTATTCTCTCACTGGCGCTCACGTCCACTCTCGCTTACTCACTCTCTCTCTCGCTCTCTGTCTGTCTGCCGCCTATCGTATTGGGTATACTTATGCGTTTGTATGTATGTATGTATTATTTCACATGCACGCGCACATTTTACAATTATGTGCGCGAGAGTGTGTGCGCGTCTGTGTTTTATCTTCTATTTATTTTCACTTATGCGGCGCGCAAAGAAATGCAATGCGCCCTGCCCTGGCTAATCGAAATTAAAACATGCACTTTTTTGGGTAATTTCTAAATTATAAACATACTTTTCTTTATATTTGAACAGCGTTGTGCGTGCTTAAAATATGTATGCGCGCGGTTGTGCGTATGCTTCTGTGCGGTTTCAACAATTTTAATTCATGTTTGCTGCGTTTGTTGTTTTCATTTAGTTTTTCCGTATAATTTTGACCCACTTCTCGGGGGTTTTGCTACGCTGGGGGACCAGGGCTCCTTTTTGTATTTCGCACTCTCGATATATTCAACCTTCACGCACGCATTTAAACATGAAACTGGATGCACGACAACGCTGCTGCTGCCCCTTTGGCTTGTTATTTTTTGTTATGGCACACTACACGAGAGACAGCATATGACACAATCGCATGTATTTTGCTAGCGCAGCTGTTATGTACATATGTATATATATGTTATGTCTTCGCTAACACTACCCTACTGCCTATGATGAGTTGTCAGTATATGTATATTCTAACAGCATTCGTCTATGTGAGCAGCACGTCCAATTGGCTCGTAGCATATTCATATTTATAGCGCATCAAAGCGTCGCCTTGGTCTCGGATTTTTGTGATGACACACAAAGAGAGACTATGTTAAAGAGAGTGAGAGAGCGAACACATTAACGGCGCATGTGGCGGTGGCGCGAAAATATGGCCGGTGGTGGCGCGCATTTGTTGTTGCTGCTGCTGCTGCTTCTTGCGCTTGTGTTGTGTCGTCGCTAGAAACAACACCCTTAAGGAACTTGTTTTCATCTCTCTCTGTGCCTTTTGCACTGACAAAAATTTCGTGCTCGCTGGCCGAGAAAATTCAATCGAAAACGTTGCCCCAACGGCGGCTTCATGGAATTTATTGAGACAGACAGACGGACATACCGGTTCAGGTAAAGGTGCGCAGGTGCGCAGCCCACCCGTTGCAGGTAAGCGGTCCAGGCGTCCTTTACAACACTAATTACACGATGCGTGTAGCACACAGTCACATAATTATGTACAGTGAGGGCTCGCTAAAACGTACAGCTCAAGCTTGTTACCTACGATAAAGACTAAAGTATTTGTAAAGAGTTTATTTTAGTTATATTTAGCTCTGCTTGCGTGTTTACTGTAGTCGTTTATTAGATTGGTCTTCCGGTTTACATTCTATGTAATGGGTGTTTCAGTCGCATAATTTAATACTGTAAGCTAAGCTTAAAATGTTTAAAATAGTGTATTATGCACTTCTATGCGAGGGTAGCTTCAAAATTTCTGAGATATCATCATATATATTCAATATAATATATGAATACACTTATGCATATAAAGTCTACAATATAAATAACTTTATCACTAATACTATTGAACTTCTCAAACTACCCTCGCATAGCGTAAGGCTAACACAATCAGCCAAACTCAAGTTCTTCAATTAAAACATTTTGCAGCTTCTGTCGCACCCGCAGCTTCCGCCGCTCATCCAATCTCTGCAGGAAGGGCATCAGGCTAAGTAGGAACATGCGATCCGCATCGTCCTGGATGTCCTGTCCATTGGGTTCTGTATTGGTCGCAGCATCCATGCTGATATATTTGAAGGGCAAATCCTGTAGTGTTGCTGGCTTTTGCTCCTCCTCGGTCTTGACGATAGTTGGCTTCTCCTTGGATCGCTGCATGTCCTCATCCTCGTCGTCGAGCACTTCGATGGTGAAGACGCTGGGATCGGGTCGCTGTTCCTCCTCGGTCTCTGATGCTGCATCCTCGTCGAAATCATCATCATTGAGCTCCTCGCCCTTGCTGCTCTGCACATCCTCCAGTTTCACACGTTTGCAGTCCCGCTGCTGATGCTGCTCCTCCTCGAAGAAGGAACTGATGTCTGAGAAGCTCGGCTGATGCAACTCCGAATCGTAGCTATCGCTCAGCTCACATATTGGCTCGGTGGCCACAATGGGCTCATCATATTTATTGCGACTACTGTCGTCCATGATGTGATTATTGTTCTCCGTCCAGTGTATGGGCGGATGCTTCTTGGAACTGGAACTGGATCCCCGCGTTCGCGCCTGCCTCATGATATTCTCATGCACGGCATGCTCCATGAAGCGCATATCGTTGTAGAAGCGCCACGATGATGGCGACTCATTCGACAGGTTGTTACGTATGTACACCTTACGGAAATTATCGCGCAGGTGTCCCCACTTCACACGGCATACGTCGGCTGCAGGTGAAAGACGGAGAAGAAGAAGAGAAGGTGAACAAAAGGATAATGCATCGATTGCCATTGGTGCATGGGGCACAGATGTCTGATTGACAACAAAACCGCAAAAGCAATATAGTGCCTATGTACAGTGTGCGCTCGTTAAAATAGAAAACTGCTGTAAGAACTGCAATGCAGTATCGTTTAATAATACGTACAGTGTGTACTCGCTTGATAAAACAGTCGAGAATCGCAAAATTACGTTCATACATATATACAGTGTGTATTTGCTAATGTGGCTACGAAAAAATATAAAATATGTATGTATGTACATACATACATATATACTACATATGCATGTACTTATACCTTAACGAATGCGCACTGTAGAAACAAAAATGTTCACACATACATATGCATACATACGTACTCAAACACACGGAAACCGCATGCCATACACACACATACACAAACACACACACACACAGTAGCACAAGTCCATATGTACGGACTGAACATGTTGCTTATACGCCTTTTACAATCAGAGAGTTAGCTTCGCTTATTACCTGGCCGAAAACGAAAAACGTGGACTGCTAAGCTTACCTGGCAAATTGACGTCCTTTCCGACGTCGAACCAAATGGGCGTAATATCGCTGCGCTTTTGGCCATTCGCGTTGGTGCGCATCCAGAGGATGGGACGGCGAGAGACGGCGGCAATGAGCCGCTTCACTGTTTCGATGGGCAGTTTGGCAGTGTTCGTGAACCCAAAGGCGCCAACGGAGGGTGGCGAAGTGGAAGCCGATGACGCATTGCTGTAAGCCCGCTCCATGGCTGATGCTTGCTTGATCCGTGTGAAGGTCCGACTCGCGCGGCTCAAGCGCTACACCAAGACTAAAAGAGCGCAGCCAAACACACAAAACAGACAACAAAAATGTATAAAGAAAAGAAAAACTACGGGCACGCCACACCGACCACGACAAACGGCGTACGGGCAACGGCGCAGACGACGACGACGACGCAACCAGTTTACGTGCCTTTTGGCTGCGGCGAAGGCGAAGGCGCAACGCAAAGCGAATGATCAACAGATATTGTATGTACAAGCAGTCTAGAGCGAGAGAGTGTGAGCGACAGAGGTTGAGTGAGAGCGAGAGAGAGGCAGAGAGTGAGCCAGCGCGTAGGCAGGGCTCAAAGCAGACAGGCTTTGCTATAAACCGAAAAAGAAGAAGAAGAAGAACTTACCGGCCGACGCGCTGTTGCGACGACGTCTACTATCCGGATGTAAAGCTTCCGCTGGCCGCTTGACGGCTGTTTCTTTGCTGTCTCCTCTTTACGCTTTACGGTTGTTAACTTTGCCTCGGCCGTAACGAATTGCAAATGCGCTGTTGTTGCTGACCAACTGGTCGACTACAGCAATACATGCAATCGTAATCAGCAGCTAGTCTTTGTTGATTCATATGCAAATTATTAGCTTTTAATGCTAGAGTCTCCAACCGTATCCTAGCTAAACTCTTTCCTCCTCTCTCTTTCCCGCCATTACACGAATATGCTGCACGCTGAGGATTGTAGTGTGCGCAGTTGTTGCGCTTTGTTTATTTTTAAACAAAACTGGATTTTTCGCTCACTACGGTCGGTTGGCTGGCTGAACTGGAGCTGTGTGGCATGGAGCGAACCTGAACGTAAAATGTTCACGCTACGCCAGTGAAGTCAACGTAAAAACGAACAGAGGAGCTGATACACACGTAAATGTGCACGCCTCTTCATATGTGTACACACATACATATGTGTGTATATGCAACATATGTATGTGTGAATGTCATGTGTAGCATCGATACCAGTAGAAATACAAGACCCAACAGAAAACTTCGTTTTGCACGATCTTCGCTCGTCTGGGCCTGGCCCTGTTTTTGTTTTACTGCTATCTCCCGTTTGGTTCTCTATGCTCGAGTGTACGTGCGGTCGCTTGTGCTTGTGTGCCTGTGTGAGTGTGCGAAATTGCAAGCAAAGGCGAATATGAGAATTGTCTGCGTGTTTATTTTATCTACCGCTGCGCTTGACATTTGATCCTTGCAGCAGTTGAAGGAGTTCGAACGAACAGTTGTAAAATCTTGTTTTAGCTCTATATGAAAAATATAACTTCTGATTAGCTCTTACGGCACACATATTTATGTAAATACAAGACTTGACAACAATTCACATACGCCGATGTAGACTTAGACATATTTACAATGTACATATGTACATATGTATTTATGTACATATGTATTTAAATTACAGTACAGAAGAAAATGCAATATTTTGTGAGAGGTAGTTTTTTGTTATTTCTTTGTCATGTATACATATATATATTTTTCTCTTTATACACATACATATATACATACAAATATTTATAGTGATAATGTATGTATTTTTATAATGAATGTTTGATTTTCTTACTATTAATGCCACATCCTATTCGCAGCAGCAGCCATCGTTGAGTCTCAAGCGCCTGCGCATTTGGCTCAAATGCTCTGCTCCCAATTAGCCCACCCTGTAATTGTCCCTTCGTTTGACCTTAACTTAAGCTATCCACTCCATTCTCCTGCTCCATATCGTCCTCTTCGAGTGCGAAAGAGATGCCATGCTTGCGAGTGGTCACAGCTGCCGTAGTGCCGCCAGTCATAATGGAATAATTTTTCGTTGTGGATTTTTTATTGACGCCCGCTGCTGGCGTCGTTGTTGCTGCTGCTCCCACTGCCACTGCTACCATGGCTGCATCCTTTTCGTCCACAGCAGCATTGCCATTGCTGTGACCATTGCTGCTACTGCCGCTGCTCACTAGAGATGAGCAACTGCCATTTCCATTCCCATTCCCATTTCCATTACCGCCTTCGTTAATGAACACATCCATATGATCAATAGTATCGTTAAGCGCAAAGGCCTGATCCCGGCGCTCGCTCTTCTTCCACTGGTAGTAAAATTGAACCAGTTCGCGCATGGTACGCGTGCGAACCTGAAAGGACACACATAGGATTCAGCATTCGTCAAGTGTACAAATTTCAAATGGAAAATTCCTATCAGTAATCGATTACGCTGTTATCAACATAAATTGAATTTTCAAAGTTTTTAGCACTTTTTTCTTTAGTTTATTTTATTTACTACTTCTGCTTAACTTGGAACTGATTTTTTATGTGGGCATATATGCCCGGAACCTTAAAATTATATCGAGTAACCTAGAGCCCTAATTATAAAAACTCGATATTTAAATAGCTACAGATAAGTTATATGGACTTTGGATACAACACTTAATAAAACTTGTCATCTATATAGAAGGGAATTTCAGGCTTCGTATACATTTATAGTAGCTTATTCTACTCGTCTTTTAAAGCTCTCTACAAATTTGCATATTTGTGTGCTAACGTATGCAAGTTAACCACTGTGTTTGCTGCCCTCGAGCTTTACCTGGTTTTGCCTTATCTGATAGAAATCCTTGCCAAATTTTTGGATGCCCTCCTCGAACTTTTGGCACTCCTCCTCCGACCAGCTGCTCATCGTGTCGCTGAGGGGCAGAACATTCATGCGCTTCCGACGCAGGGCCTCCTTGAAGTCATAGCCACATTGCACGAGGAGGTGCAGAGCTTGCTCGTTGTCCTTGACCACGGTTTCCCCATCGGCTATGGCCTGAGGGGTAGGAGCTGAAGAAGGCACAGGATCTGCAGCTACGGCTGCATCTACTGCAGGATTAAGAGTTAGCGGTACCATCTCATCCAGATCGTTTCGTTCTGTCTCTTCGGCTACCACGTCCTCCTCGCCTGCACGCGTCTCCTGTATCTTAGCTAGATAATCCTCGACATCCCGCTCGCTCACCTGGCTGGGGGCCCAAATCAATTGATCCTCATTCTCATAGGGCAATACATCGGCGACATATAGTGCGAGTCCTTCAGGTATCTCAGCTTGATATTCGGGACCAATCATTATCATCTTCTTAGTGTCATCTGAATCCGTGTCGCTATCCTCCTCCTGGTCCTCGTCCTCGGCTTGCTCCAGCAACGTTTCCAGTGGAGTAACTAAAAATAATATGCAGAATTTAAGTACAGATGCTATAAAAGCCTTGCCCTGCCTTGCTTCTCTTCACGTACAGCTTTCCAACTCGTCTAAGGCTTGTTGCTCCGGATATAGATCGAGCAAATGCGAACGATGAGACCTTTTCGCTAGTTCTGGAGGCAGGTCTTCCAGGTCCAAAGCGCCCTCATGGTATTTCATGGGACTTCCCGGCTCAGCCTGGTTTGGCTCTGCCGGCTGCTCTTGCTCCCGCTCGTCCTCCTCCAGTGACCTCTTTGGCGCACGTCGTCGCCCCCTGCTCGAAGTTGAGCCACTGCCGCCGCCGCTGCTGCTGCTACTGCAGGGTCGTCCCAGGGCAGATCCTTCCATGTTGCCATATTTGGCCAGCAACAGTTCGATGGGCATTTCGCTCTCTTCACGCAACGTCGCTATCTCGTCCTCCACATTGTGCGCCTCCAAATCTGCAAGCGCTTCCTCCTCATTTAAGGTGGCTTCATCATCGAAATCATTCACCATCATATCGACTGTTGGCTCGAATGTTGTGTCTGCCACAGATGAGGATGGTGACATTGGAGGCGGCGGCGGTGGCGGTTGTTGTGAAGTGCTGCAGCCGCTGCTGCAACTGGCCATGGCTGGGGATTTGCGTCGCTCGCGTTTCGTCGGTGTTACTGTTAGTTCGCGTCCCGCCATTGCAGAGAATAAAGTTTGTTTGCTCCTCTTCTGAGGTTGTTACTCGAATGCCAATTGTGGGCACCTTAAAAAACCCGAACTAACATTTTTCAACAATGTTATTCAGCAGTATGATATGCGATATTTACTCGGTTGTGTAATTGGTTGTCAAATTGGCAGCGGAATATCGACGACTAGATTGCTCATTTGGTACTGGTGCACTGGTGCACTCAAATAGTTAAATAGCTAAATGAAATTACTAAGATTCCATATGTTGCTTATGCTTATTATTATGCTAAGTACAGTTAAAAATGCATTTTTTATAATTTCTGATATCATATTTGAATTTAATTCATGTCAGTGGATTAAATATCGATATTTTTGTTACTCATCTCTAAGTCTGTTGGATGGTTTGTTTGGATTGGTTTTGTCTCATTTGGCAAAACACTTTTTTATTTGACCGAAAAGTTTATTAGCACTTTCTTTGTCTACGGAAATGAAACAAAGCTATTATAGTGATAACAATTTATTGTTTCAGCAATTGATAGAAATTTGAAATTATTTTTAAATATATATTCACATCGGCAACAGTGCGGTCAGCTGATTTTAACATTATTCGATAAACATTCGACAACTGTATTAGAGTAAAATTTATATATTTTTGGTTTATCTGCCATACAGATACCAATAACAAGCATATAGAAGTACTTAAAGTTAATTAGTTTGTTTAATCACAATTTAAATAGTAATCGATTCCAGCCGACGATTTTGAATTAGCTTAAGCTGTCAAAACTATCGGTCTCTTCACATCACCAACTAAAGAGTAGTTTCATTTGTTTATACTCGAAAAGTGGTTGTCGCGGCTGTCGGTGAAACATTTGCATGCATTACAGCTTTGCTTATTGGGCGCTTCGCGAATGTGAAAGTTAAAAGAACAAATTGCAGAAATGATGTAAAAATTCGTGACAACTGTTTGTATTGTTTTGCAAGCACAAAGAAGTGAACGTGTGAGTTTTTGCGATAAATGGAGGCTGCGCCGGCTCCAACCAACAAACGAAAACCGACAGCGACAACAACAACGCCACAGACAAGCGGCAAGGCTTTAAATTGAAAAAGAGATAGAAATAAAGCAGTCGGCGCCTTTTATGAAGCGCCACTTAAATCGTATGCTAAACAGTCTAGCGCAATCACTTGCATAAAACAGGAATAGGAATAGCTAGCTTCTCTATTCATTAAATTGCCTTGCGGCTGCTTTGGCTGTGCGCCATAAAATCAACCCACAAAGGTGAAGACACACACACACACGCGCGCACACCATCTCACATATGCATAACTGTTTGTCTCTATGCATGCATGCCTGTGTGTGTGTGTGCAAACTCACACACACACACACACAGATGCGCAAGACTCAGCGAAAATATAGCAAAATCATAAACATTTTAACAATTTATTGATTAATAAAAAGAGCAATTGAAATCTAGCGTGCGATTAAATAGTAAAAAAGTAAACTATAAAAGTTAATTCGCATTCAAAGACATTGAATGTGGTCTTTTTTATAGTTTAGTGAATATATTTGTCAGAATACAAAAACACTATAAATAAATTGGGAAAAGCGCATTCACTTGACCGAAGCATCATAATTTGTTGTTAGTATGCAGTGAAACATAGTATAACTGTGTATACTAATACTGTATTGTGTATTTATTTGTCGAAATAGTTTTTTCAAATATTACAGCATAGTATATCAGCAAAAGTGTATCACTATTCTGTATGACAGTATAACAATGCGATTGCATTGTAGTATATCAGTAAATCAGTCAAAGAATAAAGCCGTAGTAAATTAGTATGACAATATAATAATATTTGATTATTTTCCTTTATCACCATACGGTCCTTCAAATATAAAAGTATGACACATGCAGCATTGAGTATAACAGAATTATAACAATATTTTGCTGTTGCCGTTGTTGTTGTCCATATAATCTTGATATACAAATGTACGAAAATTGTAATGTGATTTGTGTGTAATATTACTGTATAACAGTATAACAGTGCAATAATACTTGGTTTTTATCATAATATGCTAGCGAGTTAGAAGTATTATTTATTGGATTTATCTTGCTTTGGTCGCCTGGCAACATGTGACGCGAAGGCAGACGATGCATCATCATAAATTAAATGAATAGAATGAATACAGAAAGAAATTGAAACTCGAATGGAATTTTAGTGGACTATTAAAATGGTTTTAATCCAACCAAACCTGAACTATTTCTGTTGATAAACCTGGGACGAGGAGCTCGAGAGCGGCCATCAGACTGGAGGCCTCACTCACCCTGAAGCGCATTTTTGCACGCAAAATTGCCTATAAGACGAATTCGAAGCTAACCTTGAATTCGAAATTCAAATCGAAATCGACTCTAGCGGCCATGCGAACTAAACATTTAATACTGATATTAATCGGTGTGATAATCGCAACGCTCGTATTCATTGTCTTTGGACCGGCTGGCGAACCGAACGATTCATTCAAGCACATTGTGGTCCAGACCCATCAACAGCTCAAAGAGTTTCAGGTGAGTAGTGTTCGTACACCTCTAGCTAATTTAATTAAATTTTATCAAGAAAAGTGTATACATTTTTCGATCATATAAAATAGTAAAAATAGATCTTGATATGAGATAGAAAAATACAAATTTAATGTATGGAACATCTAAATATAAGTATTTATATTTGTAGATTATATATCTAAATGTTTATAAAGTGAGGATAATTAAAATATTCCCTTCAACTTAATCTAAAGAGAGAGAACCCGAAAAAGATAAACAACAAATCTGTAAATATTTCTTGTTTTTTCACGAAGATATCACCAAAGCGCGAGGGTGGCTTTCAAACTTGCTTAAAAATGTGAATAGTGGAAGATAACGTGATTTTACTTGCATAAACTTTTATGCATTTGATTTTTAATTTAAATTGACGTGATTAAAATTGCGGATCATCAATTGCATGTCGAAATACGAAAACCTGTAGAAATTGCTTAAGTGAAAATAGATGTTTATATTTATGGGTTGGACGACTCTCATTGGTATGCGCATCTATGAAAGCTAGAGAGAGAAAACTTGAATTCAAATGAAAATCTTTGAATTTATATACTAGATTTTCTATCTATCTATCTATCTATCGAATCCCCCTCTTTATCCGTTTGCCAGGTGAACTCCACAGTGCTTTATCTCCCTTAATCATAAGCCCCAATGCAACCAAATTTTGTTTGCACGTACCCAGACAGTAGTAGTGAGGCAACAGTTGTTCTTGCCCCTTGCTTGTGTGTTGTTGCTGTTGTTGTTGTGATAACATTGTGTGCTTATCTGTGAAAACAACAATGATAGTCGGCTTTCTTCATCGTCGCTGTCCGTCGACTTCATTGAGTAAAACACTTGACTTATCAGCGGCTCTTAAGCTATATATAATACACCCTAAAAATATATATGTACTTATATCAGATATATGTATATTTGATATATATTATAATGTGCAGATAATATTTGATATATGTCTAATTATTGAAAACGTAGTCGCTTTTCATATTTTTGTTCTCTTGGGCTATTCCTTTGCTTTGACTCATTCGAGGCTTATCAGTGATGTCAACAGTCGCGCTGCCCAGTGTCAAGTTGACAGCCTCGCTATGACTTTTCTTGGCAATGGATCATACGAACTGCCTGCCAATTGGCATCGAAATCCATTTACATAATCCTTGAACTGTGCTTTGGTTTATGCCTCGCTTTCCAGGCCCACGGAAATGCCCTGCAAATGAACTGTGCTTGAACTGTGGAGCAGCGCTAATGGCTACACGCCTTTGTGCTTAGTTGTATCCTGTAAAATCGTATCCTGGAAATAGGGTGTATACCAAATATAGACTGAATTCTTACAGTAACTCCCCCATCTCTCTCTTATAAAGCCCCAATATGAAAGTCCGCCAGGCCAGCTTTTAATTGTTTACTGGGTTTTTGATAGTCAGTAATCTGTGAGACCTTTCCCTTAGCCGTAAAACCGTCTTACAGGGTATTTTAAGAGTTTGCCACTCGAAATTGGCTCTAGTGCCATTTAAAAGGAAGCTTTTAGCCAAATTGAAACAAGTCTCCGGTCAAAGAGAGAGAGAGAGAGCTAGCGAACAGGAAAGACGAATAACCAGGCACTCTGGCTACTTGGCTGTCCGACTATCCGGCATTCCGGCTATTCAACTGTCCGGCTAACAGGCAATCCGGCATTCAGGCAAGGCAAACATGTAAATGACCCAAAAGATATCATCATTTGTCGCTTGGCATGCCTGCCAATGGCCATGCCAACTGTCCAGCTGTCCGTCCGTCCGTCCATCATCATTTACGCCGGTGCGCCCACGGAATTCCTCAAGTTCCGTACGAAATTTAATAGCTACGAAGGCATTTAACATGCAAATTCCATATGAAAACTTTCTTTGTGCCTCCAAATAAACAACATATGCATGCATATGTGTGTCTGTTTGTGTGTGTGTGAATGTGTGTGTGTGTGTAAATATACACTAGAGAGCACCAGTTTGCATACCCATGTGAAAAATGTACACTAGTAGTTAGAATGCTATGTACATAGACCTGGAATACCTACAAGAATGTACGAATGTGAATGATACAGTACTAGGTGTAAGTATGCGTACACATATAAACGGCTTATTACTTTATATCTGTGAAAATAAACACTAGTAAGCATAAGTATGCTGCCATATAGCAATAGTAACAGTATTAGGCACAAGTATACGTACGTACCTGAAACTATTCACACAAAGGTGGGGATGTACTTAGTCTGGCAGGCATAAGTATTTTAACTCTATTAGTAATTGTGTATAATAAGCCTAATTGGATAAGTTGTTTAGTATTAATACTCTAACATTAATTTTGGTGATCATACTTTCGTACAATACCATAGCTATATACTTTTGCCAATTAGTGTATGCATAGCTATGCTTGAATATACACTTCAATCATTTATAATACTTTGTATTCTTCTGTTTTACTGCTGCTGTATGCATACTTTTGGCTGCCAGTGTTTCTTTATAGCATACGCGTTTTGTTCCCCACTGCCTGGACTCGACTTTTTGTTTGCCTTAATTTGATGTGTGTGTGTGTCTGGCCAGAACGTTTATTGTTTACTTTAATTAGATTGCGGCAGCTACTTTCCGGCCTTAACCATGCTTCGTCCTCTCCCTTTCCCGCCCCTCTCTGTCCATAAACACGCGCCCAAAACACATTCCCTCCCGGGCATTAAATAACATGCTTAACTTTAAAAAAAAAAAGTTAGTTTTCAATTACATCAAACAACACGAACTCGAAGTGGGTTGAGCATTATCTAAGTATTTATCAACGATTTGTGGAGTGCTGTCAGTGGAATATGTCTAGATCAATCTTATCGCCGATGATTAAGTCAAGCATCGCGTCCAATCAAATCATAGTCATAAATAAATCAAGTTCTTTCAATCGTGACTAAGAGTTTAACACTTTCAAGTCTTCTATCTAAGTAGAATTTAGCGGAACAAAAGAAGTATCCATATACATATCTACTTTATAGTTATCAGATAACGAATGCTTATTGCTTAACATACATTTCCTTTTACCTACATAAATATGAATAAATATTTATGTATAAATGTGTACTTACGATAATTTTAACGTTATCTATTAGTAGAGAACGTATGCATAGCTATCTTATATGTGTACTAAAGTAAAAAAAAAATACAAAGGTGGAGTACAATAGGTAGAATCAGAGAAAATGAGTTAAACTATGTGAGAATTGCATAGAAAGGTCATAGATAGATAGGTATAGAAAATATTAAGAGACAACGAATTGTAGAGCAGAGGAAGTAGACATTAGAGGATAAAGAAAAACTGAGGCTTATATATACATATATTTAAGTTAAAGGGTATTTCGGTTTCAGCATTTTGTAGTAAAGTATTTTGCGCTTGCTCTTGTTTAAAGTTTTCATTTTCTACACAGCTTTCGTTTCTTGTTTGTTTGTTTGCTTAATTTATTGAACAGAGAGAAAATATACAGAGTCCACATATATTCAATCATGCATATGTATATACATATAGACGTATCAGATGTACTTGTGCTTATGTGTATAGTAGTTATACATGTGATTGAGGTTTTTGCTGTTGCTCTAAACTAGTTCCCACCGTCTCTGCACAGAGAGCTCATTGTATTTGATTTGTCTCTATTTGGCAACGTTTCTTAGTAGCTATTAATAACTGGTTTTTGCCAAGGCACATTCGCTTGCGATAGGTCGTGCTACAGTTTCAATTGTATGCTATATAATATATGGTGCTATACGCTCTAAGGTACATCGAGTTAAGCCCTTAAATGAAACACTTTGAGTAACTTTGATGTGTCTTGATCAATTGTAATGAATTCCTATATGTACTTTTATACGTACCGACAAAACAGACCATGAGTAAGACAACATTATTCTATTTAGCAATACTTGTACCGAGTGAGCTAGCCTGACTTGGCTGTTGACTAATATTGTTCAAGTCGTCTATCCATTTACCACATTTAGCTAGAAAAGAATAGAGCAACTCTTGTTTCTTAGATTGATTAGACTGTTGACTACAATAGTCTTATACTCTCATAATCATACCTTCGAATATTTGTATAATAATCTGCTCTTATAGAGATGTTTCTTTAGAGATCAATGCATATTTTGATCTGTATACTTTTATTTTTAGTAACTATTATAGAGAAGAACGAGGTCATATATCAAATACACGTCTTTCTGGCAAACTGTTATAGCCTCTTCTCCTTCATTCAATGATGCATGTGGTTTGATGCACATATATATATGGAATACACGCGCTTTCCCAATTGTCGATTGCCAATTGAAATGGGCTTTAAGCCGCTTTCCAGCTCTCCTTTCGGTGCCTCCTTCAACTTGTTGACAAACTGTGCCACCCAATGAAGGTGCTTCAAATGATATATGATATGTTCCCCAAGTATCTCGCTTGCACTCTACTCACGCATCACGATGATAATGATAGCGATGATGATGATTATGAATGTGGTAAATTGTAATGATTATCATCAAGGCTCGACCTGACGTCAAGGTGTAAAAAGTCGCAGTTGCCCACTTTGGGAAAACTATTCATAGTCCAAACTGAATGCTCAGTTAATCTACTATACGGATTGTATGCTAATATATATAAAAATTTAAGCTTGAGGCGTGCTATACATGTCGTTGGTTGTATGTAAGCCTGGCTTAAAATCTGTTTAAAATTCTTACTAATTACACACCTCTATTGCCGTACTGTGGCATACCTGCATAGCTGTAAGCAGGTAAACCAATTATTAGGCACATTCCCAGTGGGAAAAAGCACAAATGTTTTCCAAATCTATATGTATAAATATGGGAGAAGTAGTTAAAAACAAGTGTTATATACATGTACATGAATGTGTGTGTGTTGTGTATGTATTGTATTTATAGTCTATCGCGTAACACTCAACCACAAGGGTTGAAATTTAGACTCTTCAACGAAAAATTCCTTTCATAATTAATTTTTTAATTTTAGCTTTTCGTTTTCATTTATTCTTTTTTGTATACATATGGAAGTGGGGTAGCATATGGTCTATAGGTCTTATACAATCTTAGTTGTATCGACAATACTTTAGCTTTTGTTTTGACTCTCGTCTCATAGAAGCCCAAGAAACGATTCGCTACGATCTTTAGCTGCACAAATATCATAATATATGTGTAAAATTCTTTTTGTTCTCAGCGTTAATCTTAATCATTTGTTAATTGTAAATTCTATGGAAATTTGCATTAGCCGTCGTAGTCTAATTTAATTGGTATCCAAGTCCACTTGTCCACTTAAAGTCGTCTAATGGCTCATATCTAACGTCTGACCCGTGAACCCTGAACTCTGACCGACATCAATTAATTGCAGGGCTCGCTGTGAACAGTTTCGTCTCCACATACATACATGTCTGTATGTATGTATGTATGTGTATCTATAGAGCTCGCTCGATATGCTTTAATAATTGAATATGATATCGCACAAATGAGCTTTCGATGACCTAGAGAAGAAACCCATTGCTAGCTAGCCTCAACTTACGGACAACTAGAGACACTTATATAAATGCTCAAGACTAGTCTAGTACCGACTTGGAACTACCCTGTAATTGAGCTGATGAAAGAGAGCTGAGATCTTAAAGATTAATATAAAAGATGTGTGAAAAGAAAAATATGAACTGACGATAGTAAATGACTGGTAATACTTGTGTAAAAGGGAATACAAATGCAGTTGAAATCGGTGCAATGGCGCCTAGTTTATACTGTTTCGTGAGCTTCGTGCTCAACTCTTTCGTCTCCTGCTTTTCGCTGCTCCATCGTAACACTTGGTGACCCTCGTAGGCGCCATTAGTCACATGCGGCAACCATTTCGAGTCACGCGCGACCCCCATAACTGGAATTTCATATTAAAATTGTCGCTCACGTGCTAAGGACACTTCCGACCACTAAATACCCTTTCTCATATAATAAATATGTATATAATATAATATCTACTTTAATATTTGATCAATATTAGAGCATTCTTCATTTGAAAGAATTCCTTGATGGAAAATACTATGATAATAGTAAATACTAGGATTTGGTTTAGGAATACACAGTGCAATACATATAGAGAATCCACTTAATATGCTTAGCTATACTGCTCTCTGAAAGTGTATTACAGAGACTATATGGCGCTGCATGTCACTTGGGCCTTGTCAGGACTGGTCAAAGCCTGCCCCAGCGCCTGCGTTTGCTTCTGACTTACATAAATGAATTGCTTTAGAATTGTTAAGTGGCCAATTAAAACTGGTTTCAGGTCTTTCACTATATATATAATTCTTTGTTTTTCTCTCCACTAATTGCAATAAAAGTGCTTAAATTTGTATATCTAATTTCCATTGCTTACTGCAAAAATCTTGATTTGATATTTGAAATATCTGAAATATTCTCTAGTTATAAGCTCTTCCGCTCTTCTACTCATTGAATTTTCACTCTTATAGACCTTTATATGATATATATATTCGATATATTCTTTGAGATTCCATCCAATTTCTTTTTCATTCAAGTCCTCTTTCACAGACTTCGAGCAGCTCAAGTTTTAGACTCGTATTTTTTCAGTAGACCCCATTTTGCTAATCTCTCGCCCTCTCTCACGCTCTTTCGTTAACAATCTCAATTCCTGACGGCATTCACAAAGTCTTGAAAACTGAGTTTTCCATCGTTATCAGCATCGACTTCCTTCATCATTTCATTGAACTCCTCCTCGGAGCACCGTTCGCCCAGATTGTGCATAACATTTCGCATTTCGTTCGCGCATATAAAGCCGTCGTCGTCGCGATCGAATAGTTTGAATATAACCCTTAGATTCTCGATTTTGGTCAAGCCCTCCATGCGTTTGGTGATCATCATTACGAATTCCATGAACTCTATTTCGCCATCGCCATCCATGTCGATCTCATCGATCAGATCGTACAGCTCCGCTTCGGTTGGGCAATAGCCCAACATACGCATCGCGAGACCCATTTGCTTTCCCTTGATTTTTCCCGTATTATTCGGATCGTACGTTCCAAATGCCTCGCGCACCTCATTCATTTGATCTTCGTTCAATGCAAAAGCTGGGGCCTCCATTTTCTGACTTTATTTTAAAGTATTTTTGTAACTAGAATATAATGTATGTATGTATGTCTGTGAGATTTTGTTTCTGTTTGAAATGGAGTTGATGTAGAGCAAAGGGTCTTAAATCTGTTTATATAAAGCTAACTAGATGAGTTACATGAAACCTCCGTCTTTATATATACCGGGCAACTGCAACTCAATGATATATTTAGCTATCATATATAGATTATATATTCCATATAATGAGACTTGGATCATTACCGAAGAGATAAGATAAGAGAGATTCCAAAATATCATTTTAATGCTCTATACACTGCATTTATTATTAAGACTCGTGTCTAGAATCGATTTCTCAATATTCAAACTATGTTTGGCATCAATGCGATAAGCCACGGATAATTCAAATATTGAGTAAACGAGCCCAGAACGAATTCTTATGTCCATATGGTAGTGTACTTGTATACATCCAATCATCTTTCGCTGGTTTACATCGAATATCAAGACACCGTCTTGGTCGGCGTTCCCCAATCGCATGATTTCTATCGAGTCAGCGACCCCAGAACGATATCTAATGTCCATATTATTTTTCGCTGGTTAAAATGGCAGCGAACTCTTCGAATATCAAGACACCGTCTAGGTCGCTGTCCCCCGATCGTATAATTTCATCGAGTTCCTCGTCGCTCGGCTGAATGCCAATCGATCCAAAGAGCTTGCGCAAATCGTTTGTGGCAATACATCCATTTCTATCCTTGTCGATCAACGCGAAGACCATCTTGAGATCCTCGGGCCGATCAGTGTCCGATAATTTGCGCAAGAGTGTATTAACAAACTCCTCAAAATCAAGCGATCCATTGCCATTCGAATCGGCCTCATTGATCATATCCTGCAGCTCCCCATCGCTGACGATGCCACCCAAAGCTCTCATCACAATGCCCAGCTCCCTAAACGAGAATTCTCCATCCCCCTCAACGTCGATGCGATTGAAGAGCTCTCGGAATATAGCCAGTTCTCTCTCTGTTAAGTTCTCCATTTTCCTTGGGTTTAGCCAGATGGTTCTTTCTTGAATTTATTAATAATTATTAATTATTTAATTTTTTATATTGACATGTTCAGTTTAATTGTTTTATTTTATATTTTATGGCCTAATTTTTTAATATTTTTTATATATATTTATTTTAATAATTAATATTATTATAGAAATAAATTAATTGTAAAAAAAAATATATTTTTGTTTATATTTATTTTTTTTTTATAATTATTGTTATATTTTTTAATATTTTGTGTATATTTTCGGTGTATATTTTTTATGTTTGTTTTTTATCATTCATTTTTTTTTTAGTTTACATTTATTTAAATAATATGTTTTTATTGCATTGTGTTTTTTATTATACTATTTCTTTTTTTTTTTTATTTGTTAAATCGTGTGTAATGTTATTTTTTTATTTTTTATTGTTTTATTTTGTATGTATTTGTGTTTTATGTGTATATATATTTAGTTTATTTTTTTCATATTTATATTTTTGTTGTTTTCGGTTTTGTGTTTTGTGTAGTATTATTATTTTGCCATGGGTTAAAAACGAGAATTCATAAGCTCATGAAACTTGATGCATATGCTACTCCCATTATTATTACACAAATATATATATATATATACGCCTGAACTTCGAGACTTTTATATTAACAACTTCTTAAAAATCACGAGGAATCGAAGTTTAATATGGTTCTCCATAATCTTCGTAATCTTAAAGCTAAGATCTTTTGCCCAAATGGCCAGCTCAAGCAATTCATATCTATTTAATCTTCATTGAAATTCTGTTATTGTGTGAGTTATAATTTCCCAGTGGCATATGCGAGAAATCTCGTTGGTTTTGTTGTCGCTCCCATTGGCAAATAGAGTCCCAATATAATAACACCAAATTCGATTCACAGTCATTGTGCTGCCCGCCTAAATTAGTCCCTCTGGGCGACATCAACAACTGCTGTCGTGGTTTTTTCCTTGTTATACCCTGGAATATATTGAGAATGTGGTATATTGCCTCGTTTTTATTGAGAGACAGAGAGGGAGTTGAGTTCTGTTTAACTGTGGATTCCTTTGCAAGAGCATAAATGTAGAAAAGTATAAGATGACAAAGGTCCTTCACATACTCCGCTTTCACATAAACACTAATCATAAATTAAAACAATATAAAATATCAGATGCTAGCCTTATCATATTTGGTGTATGGTATAAAGCAACCCATTTTATCCCTTAATCAGTTCAGGGCATCTTCCAGTCAGGTGTATCCGTCTCCTACTTGTTTTTCCCCAAAGCAAAGTATCTATTGAGGGGCGTGTCATATGCCAGTAAAGAGTTTTGGCCTATGTTTTTTTCTCTCTCTGTCTCTCTTTTCTATTTTGCGGCTCAGCCCACAAGCGAAATTAGCCTGGAAATGAAAGTCCACGTTCTAGGATGGTCGCATGACAGCTTGACATCCGCCATCTGACCTCTGAGCCCCGTCCTCCCGCTGTGGCCATGTCGATTCTGTTTCACCTTCTGCTACGTTGTGTGTGTCAAGGCTCAGTTAGCTCGAAGCATGCCTCATGCCAATTTCGAGCTGATTGAAACTTGTGAAATAAATGCAAAATAAAATATTCCTATCTCGATATAGTTTTTGCTGCAATCAAATGCGGGCTTTCCAACTATTTATTGCTGATAAGCATTAATTCTTTGAAACACAAGTATTTTCAGCTTCAATCCGAGTTTAAGATTATCAAAGTAGAAAATGATAAACTGATTTGTATTTTTGTGTTATGCTTCTTCCAGGAGAATCTGCGCGTTGGGCTGGAACGCAAAAAGCTCGAGCTCGATCCAAAGTATTTGCTGCTCTTGGGCTTCACGTCGCCGCTGAGCACAAAAGATGACGCATCACAGCAGCCGGCAGAGAGCGGCAAGCAGAGGCAGGTGCAGACAGACGTGCCCGTCACGTCGAAGCGCGAGCTGCAGCAGCAGCAGCAGCTGAGGGCAGGCCGCGGACAGGCGGCCGAGCAGGAGCTGCTACTGCTGCAGCAGGTGGAGCAGAAGAGCCAGCGCAAACGGATCACGACGCCGTACAACATTACCAAGTCGAACTTCACCATAGTCAGCTACGTGCAGGAGGGGCAGGTGTCGTCGGTGATACTGCTGGCGCAGAATATCGCAGCCAAGCTGCCGAACGAGTCGCTGCTCATCTACGACCTGGGCGTGTCCGAGGATCAGCTGCGCTCCCTGAACGCCTGCTGCAACAGCAGCCGCTGCACCGTCATCACCTATGACCTCGCGGAGTTTCCGTCGTTCGTCAGCGACCAGCGAACCCATGCATATCGTCCAATTGTGATAAAGGATGCTCTGATGAGATCCAAATCGATCTTGTTTCTCGAGAACTGTATGCGCATTCGTGGCAGCCATCGCGACTTGCAGCAGCTGCAGAGTCGCGCCCTGGTGGCCGGCGTCCTGGGCTGGAACACCCCGACGGCCGTCTCCTCGCGCACCCATCCAAAGATGTTCGACTACTTCGAGTCGGACGCTGAGAATTTCATATTCCTTCGCATGGTGGACCTCGACGTGGTCTTCTTTGCGGACACTCTGTTCGTCACGGAGAAGATTATGCTGCCCTGGCTGAAATGTGCTTTGACCATGGAGTGCATCGATCCAATTGGTAAGTCTGACTATCCAGTCTAAAACCTCTTTAAAGCTACATATGCCAGCTTTCCAACTAAAAACCAATTTAGATGTTGTATAAATTCAATTGGAATTCGTCTAGCGAACGAGTATTGCGCAGTTGTCCATTGGCTTTCCCTTCACTCAACTGTGGCTGTCATTAGGCAGGACTTCTCCCTCGCTCGCTCACTCTCTCGCTGGCTCGCTTCCTGCTGCTGTCCACATATTGTAGTTGTCAATCAATGTCGCATTCATAACCCACAATCTCACCTAATGACCATCATTTACAGCGCATTTAGTTGATGATAGCAAAACGTGTCATATGTATATGTGTGTGAGTGGGTATGCACACACACACACACACACACACACACTTGTGCTGACATAATTGGGGTCTATGCAGTCCCTGATCTGAATCGAGTTTTCAGTTAATGGAATAAAGCAATTAGGGCAGCTTTAATTGTGTAAGTCAGAAGCTGCTCACATTTAACGAGCTCGGATATCCTGTACAACAGTTTGGATTTAGAGAGGAACTTGTAATTTGTATTATATATCCGAAACTTACACTTAGCATACTTCTTTGAATCGACAGTTTCTGATAATCTTAAGCAGTAATATAAAGGGACCCAGAACAAAATGTCGTACGATCATCCACAAGAAAACTGGCAAATCGGCACGTAAATTCGTAGCAGCAAAGAAATATTCCTCCGGCTCAATATTGTAGGCATGTCGTTCAGAGAGCATCAAGGACGTGTCATAGATGATATACCAGGCGACGACAGTGCAAGAGTAAGCGTTTAAAACAATAAATAAGATGTTCAGAAAGTAGGCCAGTAATAAGCAGAGTCCAAAAATCAAAAAGATTATGATGACGCCTACGCCTTGGGTGAAGGGAACTTTTTGCTGTTTGGTAAATAAAGCGAGCACCAAGAGCTGGATCATGAGGATTACAGGATGTAAATGGACCTATAAGTAGATAGATATAGATATAAATATGAATATAGACATAGATATAGATATAGATAATGTTTATGCTTACCCAACGTGTTTTCGCAATACTTAATAGATAAATAGTTTTGCTTGAAAAGTTTAATATAGCTGTAACCAGATATACGAGATATTTATATGGAGCAGCTCGACGCCAATCCCGAAATTTATAGAGCAAAGAATAAAATACTAAAGAAATTATGAAACTAGAGAGGCGCACATAAAGCTCATTGTAGCTTATGGGTAGCATTAAGATGATCTCCATGCAGGGTATGCCGCACGCAATTTCTAGCTAAAAGATATAGATATATAAATGATGTGGATAATGAAATATTTATGATACTACCATTAGCAGGAAGTAGACGCGGCGCACCAGACAACGTCTCAGCTTTAGATCAGCTATGTCGAATGGATAGTAACGGCCCTTTCGTTCATCATATAGCAGTTCGCACTGTATGCTAGCATCTGGCGAAGATTTATTAGATATATATATATAAACACACATTTATGAATTTACTACCTGTTTTCGTATCCATTGTTCCTTATGCTTTGATCAATTTCTAACTGAATTATGCACAATTAAAAAGGCTTAACCTAACTACAATTATTCGTTCTGTTTACAAAGAGGAAGAGCTAAGCTCGGAAGCACAACTAGCAGATGCCCTGCAAAAGATTTGTATATGTTGTATGATATATAAATATAATCATACCTAAAACAAACATCCCTACATAAGACTAGTTATCAAAAAAAAAAAAAAAAAATACTTGTCATATTTCTATATATTTTAAGTGATTATAAACCATAGCTATAGATCTTAGGTTTTTGAGTTATGCCCAATCAATTCAGAGATGTACAGGAAATGGAAATGTCTAAGCTGTCTATATTGGGTATATACTAAATATTAGATCTGCAATCTCTTAAAATCTTTGAGTTATTCTTCAAGCAGCACTAGATGGAAAGAGCTGTAGTAAATCTGTATAATAAGCAATATAACCTGCTTGTAAAATCGCCATGGGTATCCAAATTAGTTGATAATTGTATCTATTTTGATTTGATAATTGCTTATCTAATTGTATCTCTTATCTTGTATGTTCGTACGTTCGTTTAGGTGCCCAATCGAATGGCTGCAAATTCAACAAAAAGCCACTTTATCGCTACTCGGGCTGTCATGGCTATGATGCATCCGCTTTCAATATAGTGCTCGGCTTGACTTGGCATCTGGACGACACGAAATATTCGCTGTCCAGCGATGGCACCAAAGAGAATCTGTTTTATAAGGAGACCCTGGAGCAGGCGATCAAGATACTGGAGAGTCGTCGACGTAATAACAGCGATACATCCGATCATCCATTTACGGAGGACTGAGCATTTGATATATATATATGCTATATAGATATATATGTATTGATTTGTATATAAACACAGACTCAGGAGACGGCTGGATAGAAGAGAGGAATACAAATTCTAACTACTTACACTATACTGCTTATAGAGTTTATTACTTAGAGAACTATACAAGGAGCTATACGAGAGAGAGAATGTTCATAATATAGCTTTGATCATTTATATAGCTATATAAATATAATCTATAGGATTCATATGACCCGAGCAGCAGCAGCTTATGCCTCAGTTACTTACTTTTTCTGTTTATACTTGATTATACATTTATACATACCTATCTATCTGTGTATATCTAGATACATACATATATAATATCAAACCCTAATTAAATAAATATAATTTTTATATAATTTATGTAAATACCCATATAAACAAAATGAAATATAAATTATACATACACTTTGTGATTGTATTTGATAGTTACACACATATGCATACATAATCAATACACATAACTAAATATAATTACATCTAATGAATGTACTATATATATAGAAAATGAGCCAAAAAAAAAAAAATAATAATAATAATAAATAAAAACAACCTTAGCTTAAAATAAAGGACAAAAGTACAAGAAAAATCAAAAAAGTTTTGTCTTTTGGGATATGCTAAGCTGGGAGCTGCGCTTTTGCTTTCTTATTCATAATGGAGCATAAATCATCCAAGTCTAATGGGCTTATATGGGCTCATATAGTTGTCGAGTTATTTTATTGAATTTATTGTGAATAAAATATACACATAATACAAAAGCAAATTTAAATTTAATACAAAAATTCGTTTGTGCACAGTACAGACATATATAGTATATATATACATTCGAGTTTGATTAAACATTTTGGTTGGTAATTTAAATGCCATTTGATGGCCCTTAAATTATGGCACTACACCTTTCTTTAGTATACAATTAATAATAAATTCACATAGATATACATTCAGTTGTATAATATCGATCATAGTAGTTGAATTTAGCCTAATAGCCAAATATCATAAGGACTTACTTCCTAGCCATGAAACGCAGGATATACAAAAAGATGCGTACCACATCGATATACAAAGTTAATGCAGCAAATATATAGTCCTCTGGATTGAATTGATATTTATGCGTGCCCCCAATAATCAGTTGAGTGTCATAGATTAGCATAAAGCTGCCGAAGAGTGCGCCTAGGCAGGCAAACGCTGTCTCTCCGAAAGTTTGACGTAGAAATGCGCCGGCAAAGGCCAGAATCAGGAGGCTTATAACAATTGCGATTAGAACGCCGCCCATGGCTGTGAAATCGTATTTCGTTTGAATGGCAAATATGGACAGGGCAGCCACCAGCAAAGCCGTGATGCCCACAGCTATGAGCACAAGATTCGCGTCCATAAAACTAGCTACGCCACCGAGCATCAGGGACATGGTCACCGTGAACAGGCCCAGGCATATAAAATTTACAGGAAAATGTCGTCGAGTCGTCTCACAGCAAGCCATCGAGATGAGAACGACTAGATTCACGACCATAGCCACCATCACCACAATTGGGTTGTTGCGCACAAATAGTTTGGTTGGCCCATGGTACATGAAAATGCAGATAACACCACAGGTGAAGAGCAGCTGGGTCTACAAAATAAGAAGAGAACATTTTAAAATATATGAAATAGTGTTTAATAATATATTATGCCTTACATACCAACAGTATTAAGTACACTTTACGTATGAAGCCCTTTCTTATAGTTTGGTCATTGAAGATTAGGTTCTTTGTATCGAGACTCTCGTCCTGTCCCTCCACCACCAACACCGTTGAATTGTTTATTATAATCGGTGCAGAATCCAAATATGTCGATGGGTTTATATGCATTCCTTGCTTACTCTCCGTTCCCAGAGACGGCGGCGGTGGTAAGGGTATTGGTGGATATCGCTCTCCATTATTTATGGGCCCTTCAAATAACAATTGTGTTATTTTCAATATTTGTTGTATGAACACGTTTGTTGAATTTACGAATATGAAACCAGTTGTCCATTTCACAGATTTGATGCGTCATTTGTACCGGGAAAAACGCATATTGTATACAGACACACACATGCATACCGACACTTGCATACGTACATACTAAGAACGGAGTTGCAAATAAATACATACATACACACACATGCAGTTGCATTTACGCTGTGATTAAAACGGGACGGAAGAAAAATGCTTGCTCCATCAGCAATTTATGGCTTAATTTTGCACATCGATATTTTATATGAATATGCTCCGCAACATTTGAAATGCCTCAATACTTATCACAATGTTTGTACACACCTATGCACATATATGCAAATGTACACAAATACATACAGATATATACATATATGGGCTATCAGCATTCGAAGAAATTCTAAAACCATGCAACTTACTTTGCATTTCGCTTAGGTCCTTAGGCGTTTCCATACGATTATATGACATACTTATAGTTTTATTTAAATGCCTTATTAAAATCGGAATATTTTAATAGATGAAGGGAAGGAAATTGTGTCGCTTCCTCTGGGCGACTCCACTCGCTCTGAATGGACCAGCTGCTCCAGCCAAAAGAGATGTGCATAATTCTGATAGGGGTCACGAGCGAAAGTGTAGCCCGGTTAGTGATGGGATATTTAGATATTTATTTGAATTTGCCGCTAACTTATATAATTTTTTAACTTGTTAGAGCATTCAATTAAAATACTTTTGTTAAAAGAGAGCATGAGCATATGAAATGCGTTGTTTTATAAAAGAACAAACAAACCGGGGCCAAACATTGACCAATTGATTTAGCTTATAGAGATGAGCGCGATAGTAAGTAAGCACGAATTGAGCAAACTCCACTCAGTTGAAGATGGGAGATTTCGATAGCTATTTAAGCTTGCCCGTACAGACATTTTTTATAACAAAAAATGTTATACGAATTTTGTTTACTTGTACATCAATATAGCAACATTTCTATAGTTTACTTGTGATTAAAACATTCTGGTGTTGCCCATTTGATATAAAAATGGGCAACTGCAGATCGCCAAAGCTTAAGCTTAAGCACCAAAAAGCTTATTCAGTTGCAAACAAAATATAATAGAAACTCACCTAACTTGAATCGAGTGCAGCACGCAGAGAACGGCTTAAGGTGTGATCAGTATAACTGAAGCCACAGCAATTGGAACAACACAAAGCGCAAAACAAGTTTGCCATTGTACACAAAAAATTAAACAAACAAAAAGTAAAAGGAAGGTTCGCGTGTGTACAACTTGAAATGATTGCAATTACGAAACTTTTGAATATACTGCTGGTTATTTTATGCGCACAACATGAACTAGTCAGTGTCAACGCTTATGATCCAAATGATACCAAAATAGTGGAGTGTTGCCTACCGCCTGAAGGAATGTTTGAAGCCTTTTATCCTCGCGAAGTGGAGGGCATACCAAATAGCGCTTCTCGACCAGCTCACGGGCATGGTAGTTTTTTCAAGCATCGCAATCCTGCTCTGGTGGACACGAAAAACGCAGCAGCCTATGGCTATCGCTTTGATGGCAAGCGGCGCTTTAACTTTGATTAGCTTGTAATACACTTAAACACATTCAAGCTATATAATCAAAATACACTAATAAAAAATATATACAACAAACATATCGTTTTTTAAATTTTCACGGTTGTCGAGCTGTTATCGATATTTGTTAAAAAATACAACTCTACGCATTTAGTTCCATATGACATTTGTGATTGACATTAGTCAAGAAGAAGAGCAATTTTTTTTCCTCAAAAGTATGTCTTTGAAACAGATTTCTTGAACGCAGCAAAATTCAACATTTGAAATTGTAAATATAGTTGCAAACGCTCAAGGCCAGACCCAAATCACCTGCAAATCATGAACGTGAGAAGCTTCACTATGCTGCAAACTCTGAGAAACTCTTGGCGCACGTAAGAATCGTGTGTGTGTGTGCTTAACGACAGAAAGAACCGGTAAAAAAATAATGCATTTCACCATTATTACTCAATTAGATTTCCACGCCGCTTTGCCACAAAAGTAACGGTAGTTGGTGGGGATGAAATTGGTAGTGGTACCGGCATCGGCCAAATCACTGGACGTGTGCGTAGTAAAGACGGTGGTCCACACAAGGTAAACACGCCGTCCAAAGAAGTTGTTACGCACCTGCCGCCCCTAACCGAACCACTGCCAGACTTGCCGGAGGCGGTCTATGCCAAACCCTTAGTAGAGAGTGTCACCACAAAGGTGACGACACTGGTGAATGGCTTACGCATCGCATCGGAGCCACGCTACGGACAATTCTGCACCGTTGGTCTCGTGCTGGATTCCGGGCCACGATACGAAGTCGCCTATCCCAGTGGTGTTTCTCACTTTCTTGAGAAACTTGCGTTCAATGTAAGTTTCCACTTAATTTAGTTTCACCTCTACCATTGCCATTAATTTCCATACATCTAATGCATTACGTGAATGAATGCTATGTGAAGGTAATTGCCATTCACTCCGTGCCATACACATGGTATCGTCGTCATTCGTTGCCATTCCCTGTGTCCCATGTCATACATTACATATTTGCAGGCAATCACTAGACATCCAATTATTTTCTATTTATAATGCCAATGCCCATACATTTATTTAAAAATGTAAATTATCTATTGCTTTCTTTAATCAAACTCGCAGTCGACAGTTAACTTCCCCAATAAGGATGCAATTCTTAAGGAGCTGGAGAAAAACGGCGGCATCTGTGATTGCCAAAGCTCAAGGGACACGCTTATCTATGCAGCGAGTATTGATAGCCGCGCACTTGAGTCCGTTACCCGATTGCTGGCTGACGTAACCTTGAGGCCCACGCTGAGCGAACAGGAAGTGAATTTGGCACGACGAGCTGTAAGCTTTGAGTTGGAAACGCTTGGCATGCGACCCGAACAGGAGCCAATACTCATGGACATGATACATGCGGCTGCTTATAAAGAAAATACACTGGGTTTGCCAAAATTATGCCCGCCATCGAATCTGGAAAGCATTGATCGCAGCGTCTTAATGAACTATTTAAGATATCATCATACGCCGGATCGTATGGTCATCGCCGGCGTTGGTGTAAGCTTTTGATCCTCGCATCCCCAAGTCCGATGAATCCTATGTGCCTTTCTCTTTCTCTCTCCTTAGGTGGATCACGATGAGCTGGTTGAGCATGTTACCAAATATTTTGTCGACAACGAGGCCATTTGGATGAACGAAAATTTGACAAGTACTGGGCCCAATCAAGTGGACACATCACAGGCTCAGTATACAGGCGGCTTAGTTAAAGTATAAACCCATACATACACATGTACTGAATACGTTAATGAAGCTCTTTTATACCTTTTAAGGAACATTGTGAAATTCCGATTTATGCGGCAGCTGGACTACCAGAGCTGGCGCACGTTGTACTCGGCTTTGAAGGTTGCTCTCACCAAGACTCGGATTTTGTGCCATTATGTGTGCTTAATATAATGATGGGAGGCGGCGGTTCTTTCTCTGCTGGAGGACCAGGCAAGGGCATGTACTCTCGCCTCTATACCAAAGTCTTGAATCGCTACCATTGGATGTACAGCGCAACAGCGTACAATCATGCCTATGTGGATACGGGTCTCTTCTGCATACATGGCAGTGCACCGCCACAGCATTTGCGAGATATGGTAGAGGTTCTCACGCGAGAGCTGATGAACATGACTGCCGAGCCGAGCAGCGAAGAGCTGATGCGCTCCAAAATACAACTGCAGTCGATGCTACTGATGAACCTCGAGTCCCGACCAGTTGTGTTCGAAGATGTGGGACGTCAAGTTCTTGTTACGGGGTATCGCAAGCGACCAGAACACTTCATCAATGAGATTGGTAAGATAATTTTGATAAATGTATATATGGTGTGATAACATTCTTTCTCTTATAGAAAAAGTAACAGCCGCTGATATACAACGCGTTGCTCAAAGACTTCTTAACTCTGTCCCTTCGGTGGCAGCTCGTGGTGACATTCAGAATCTGCCAGAGTTGAAGGATATTACGAACGCCTTAAATAGCAGCGGACGATCGCTTGGACGCCGTCTGTCGCTCTTTAAGTAAACTGGCTAAGCTTCCCTGACTAAATACGTTGTTGAATTTGCATTTCATTTTGTACCGATAGGCATTCTTGAAATCAATTTGATTGTTTAAATTTACAATTCTTGCTATACGACAAATTAATTTTCCTGATCTTTTTATTTTGTTACCGATTTGTTATTTGATGCGCTCGAGTTTAGTTATAGCAAATTTATACAAATTTGAAATGCAAACGCTGTTCAATGATATTGAACTAAAGTACAACCCGGAAATAGTGTTGCAACTGGTGTAAATTGTATTCGGTATTGAAAACATTTTTAGCATTTCAATAAAAATGACAAAGAGATTCGTTCATAAGAAAGTAAAAACAAAATCATACCCTTTTTAATGGGTGCAGGGCACAACAATAATTCAAGCTCTATGGTCAAGCTGTATAATATATATATTATTATTTAAACAAACTTTATGCAACGATTGGCTTTGAAAATCAATAACTACTTCAACTAAAATGCATATCTTAGGCAAATTAATAGTTACTATATACTAAATATAGGAGCTTTTGAATAGGCATATGGGGTTTATCTATTGCTTATATTACTTTGTCATCTTATAGATTATTAAACTTAATTTATATTATAATGATGAGGAAGAAGAGACTGGCGAAACGGAGCCTTCCTCTTGACGCGCTTGACGCTTTGGCATGGTACACGTGTCACTATCTGTATCACTGCTGCTGCTGCTACTGCTACTACTACTGGAGCTGCTGCTGCTCCTGCTCCTGCTGCCATTTCGACGCTTTGGCAGATGAACAGGCGCTTGAAATAAAAGGAAGTAAACAAGTCAATTGAAGCTGCTCGCTGAAGCAAAAGTTTAAGTACTTACAAATGGCTCTGCCTTGATCATCTTCATCATCATCCTCTGGCAACTCATCGCTAGATATATTCTCATGCATGCGATATTGCTTCGGCAGATGCGATTCATCCTCCAGCGGCGCTGCATACTTGGGCTTCTTCACCTTATCATCGTTTGCCTTATCCACATCATTGTCCATTTCGCTGCCCGTTTGCTTTTTAATGCTCTTGGCAATGACGCGCTTCTGATGATCGAGTTGGGGGAACAGGTCACGGGAATTCTCCAGCGCTTGCTTTGCTGCATTCATCTCCGCCTGCTGTATGGATGAGCCACTGGCAGTGGCTAAGCGCTTGGACCGAAAATAGACGGCCACCTTGTAGACGCGCGTGTTTGTAGGTCCGCTAGCCTCGACCACCTTGTAGTAGGGGATATCTGGCTCGCCGCCATCCATGGTGCGTAAGGTTAGGCAACATTGTTGCAACTTCGACTTGGGATCGTTCCAGTCCTGGTTCATGATGAACAGCTGCAGCCGCGGAAAGAGACAGACATGACAGAACTGCTCGCAGTAAAGCAGACCCTTATCCACATAGAGGGCGCCTAGAAAAGCCTCCAGCAGATCCGCCCGATCTTTGGTCTTTAGGTCAGCCTTCGGGTTGGCATAGACT